AAATAAATAAATAAAATCTTAAAAAAAAAAAAAAAAAAAGGTCCCGGGGGTGATACTAGCTCGCAGCTTTCTCACGTGCTGACTGAAAGGTTTTTTACCGTGGCTCAACAGCTTTCAAGGCACATCTTCAGTAGGGTAATACCTAGGCATTTTGCAAAGTTTAACCACTCGGGTACCACCGTTCTTGTCACCACCAACTGGTTTTGTGACAGTAGCAAGAACTTTCTCCTTTTTCTTTTCAACCCTAGACTTAGCTGCCGAATACTTCCTCTTGTACATGGCCTTTCTGGAATACATAGCCGATCGGGAGTATCTGCCAATTCCTCTGACAAGTACAGGGTTTCGGCTGCAGTGCGACTTCCCCTTCTTTGGCATTTTAGCCTTGGGGTCACCCTTCTTAGCCTTGCCACCGGCATCAGCCTTCTTAGCTTCAGGTTTCTTCTCCTTAGTATCCGGCTTCTCAGCTTTTTCGCCCGCCATCTTGCAAGATGGGAAAGAGCTAAGCTGGTATTCTTAACCTGGGCTCTGTGGATAGGCTTCTGCAATTGTAGGCAAAATTTTTACAGATGCTAATTTTTCAGGACAAAGAATCTAAAGCTTTCACAAAATAATCATAAGTCTCCAAAAAGGGAAAATTCAACTTGTCTAGAGCAAGAGTGAGGTGATCTCATATTTCAAGGAACACCTACTTCTTTATCCTATACATAATGGTGTGGTTCTGAAAACACAAAACCAAACAACAACCTCAGTGCGTCTATGCAATCAGATTGACACATGGCCTTGAAGTATAGGGCAAGTAAAAACAAAATGGACTGAGTGGGGAGACTGAGCCTGGTAAGCATCTTCATTTAACAACCTTCAAAACTACTTCTCGAGGGGCACCTGGGTGGCTCAGTGAAGCATCTGCTTTCAGCTCAGGTCCCAGGGCCCTGGGATCAGGCCCGGCATCCGGCTCCCTGCTCAGCGGGAGTCTGCTTCTCCCTCTCCCTCTCAAGTGAGACCACTGGGGTCTACTCAGATCACATCTCTACTATGAAAACCATACAATAAATTCAATGCAGAAACACAAAGATTCCCCACAGTGGATTCGTTCTTGTTAGGCCACCTATTTTAGACATCAACCAGTTACCGGTCTCGTGACTGGGGAATCCTCATCTTGGTAAAACGCAAGTATTAATGAATTGTGGAAGGCAGAGAAGGCAGCTGGATTTTTACAGAAGCAACTTTAAGTACGACCAAACTTGTGACCTCTAACTCTTCCATGGAAGTATCATTGCTCTTTCCTGTCTTCCGCATGGCCCTCTATAGTTTCCTGCAGCAAAATGGGTTCGTCAGCGGGTGTGACTAAACAGTTTCCAAGACTTCCCTCTGGGAATCAAGCAACACTCAGCTGAGCTTTAAAATGGAAATATCAGAAAATGTCATTCTGAGGACTGGGAAAGGGGAAGCTGAGGACACAGGTGTGGTGGGATGTGGGGGAGGAATGCAGAAAGATAAAAAGGCCTTGGAGGGTACTTGAATTTGCCTGTGATTCAGACATCCTTCCCTGTCAGAGATAACCCCGTTAAGCTTTGCTGGCTCTGAGAGTGAGCCCTGGTCCTTAAACCCTGGCAGCCTTCTTCAGGCTCAGACATGATTGGCCCTGATCAGAAATACCATGGTTTTTCAGAAATGATATACTATCTCTCAACACTGAATCATCCCACAAATTAGGAAGTTGTGATATTGTTTGCTTATATTTCTAATGATGTGTGGCGATTACGCTAAACTGCAATTACGTAGTCTCTTCTCAGGTAGAAAAGACAACAGTGTTCGGCTTTGTCATAATTACGAGGATGTTCTTTCATTATTCATGATGGATATGCAAAATTCAAGGCACGCATTCACACTTACAATGGGGCTACTGAAAGCAGCCTGTCTGGAGTGAGGCACTTCACTGGCTCCTTCTCCACTTCCCAGAGCTAAACCATTCCCAGCAAGATGATTCGAGGATTTACTTCCCAAGGGCCCATTATGAACCGTCTGGCAGCTGGGGGCCCTCGGTTTCGCCATATTGCTGAGGGAGTCGCTGGGAGTGTCTGGGGAATCTTCATCTTCAGAGATAGCTTCCTGGTAGGACTCTAACCTCTTGGCTGAGAGAGAAAAATCACACTGGGTCATTACCCGAGAAGAACCATTTGCAGGTTGAATATGTCAGGCATTTACTTCAACAGCTATTACATATCATCTCCTTCCTTTTCAAATCTGCCCTCCAAACTCCCCTCCCCAGATTCCCTTAATGAACTTACCTCGCTGAGAAAAGTAGAAGCAATTAGAAAGCAACTCCCTTCTTATGCCATCATCAAATCTACCAACCTATCCACATCTGTATCCAAACTCTGTTTTTACTACTAGTACTACTACTACTACTACTACTACTACTACTACTACTACTACTACTACTACTACTACTGATAAAGTTTCAAATGCGAAGCTCTCTCCGTTTGTGATCTGCCTCCCACCCCTCTGGCTTTCTCAAGGACTTCACCCTTACAATTCTCCCCTTTATGCTGACACCAATCTCTCCTCAACCAATCTCATGGCTTTCTGTCCCTGTCTGCCCACCGACATTACTCCTGGCAAGGTCACCCATGAGCTCCACATTACCAAATCCAATTAGTGCATCTGTCCATATCTTATCTGCACTCTTAGCAACATCCAACAGAGGTGACCATTCTCTTCTTGAATGGCTCTTTTGGTTTCTCTGACACCATGCATACCTGTTTTTCCTCCTACTTTAATGGCTGTTCCTTCTTAGTTTCTCCTGCTGTCTTCTCTTCAGCCCTCAAATACGGGGTTGCTACAGGAACTCTGTCCCTTCTCCACCTATATACTCTTCCTCAGTGATGTCACCTGGTCCTGTATTTGAAATATCATTTCATACGCGCCTGACTTCCAAACCTGTAACTTCAACTCCAATTTCTAATTGGAATCCAGACTCATATATATATATCTAACTCTCCGCTTGATACTTCCAGTAGGATGTCTAGTGGGCTCTTCAAGCAGATATCTGCAGAGCTCACTCCCTTACCTTTCTCAAGTCTCTTATCACATCCCTTGACAGCAAAAACTTGCCAGATTTAACCACACTATTATAAATCCTACTTCAGCACTTACCACCATCTACACCCTATAGATCTTGTATTTATTTTTTGAAACAACCAGTGGAATATAAACTCCAAAAAGGCAGAGTTTTGTCTATTTCGTTAATATGATATTCCCAGAGCCCAAAGCAGTGGCTAATAATAAATATTTGTTGACTAAATAGATAATAGATACCTTAAATTTGATATGGCCAAAATAGAACTCTTCCTCACTTCTCCCTCAAACTTACTCTTCCTCTGGCCTTCCCCATCTTTGTAGATGGTACCTAACTATTTATCTAGCTACTTACGCCAAAAATCTAGGAGTCTCCTTGATTCTTCTGGTCTTCCCCAGCCCCTGTATTCAAAGCATCACCAATAGCTATCTATTATTTATCCAAAATATATCTCAAATATCTCAAACTCTCTCCATCTTCATTACCTTAGTCCAAGCCACCATCATCTCTCAACTGGACCAGTGTAAATAGCCTCTTAACTGGTCTCCTTGCCCCTCTGCACTCCATTCCTCAACCAGTAGCTAGAGGGATCTTCCTAAAACATAGAGCAGATTACTCCTGCACAAAACTTTCCTTATGTTGGCTTACATAACTCAAAACGATCTGATCTCTGCTGACTTCTCTAACATTCTTGCCCCTTCTTCTTCCACACTTGCTCCAAAGTCCAGCCTCACTGGCCTTCTTTCCTTACTTTGAAAATTGCCAAGCTCATTTCACCCTGAGGGCCTCTCTACTAGCTGCTGCCTCTAACTGGTAGGTTTTTGCACCTGAACTTCAAGATTATGTTATTCAGATCTAAGCTCTGAACGTTAGAGAGGCCTTGCTCCCCTACCCAATCCAAAGTGCCTTCCAATCATTCTATATCGTATCAACCCATTTTAATTCTCTGAAAAGCACTTTTCATTATTTTTTTTCTTGACTTAAGAATTAATTTATTTGCAACTATTTTCTCCAATAGAAGCTCTTTGAGAGCAGGGTCCTTCTCTGTCTTGTTTATCATGATATCCAGTGTCTGGAATACAGAGTAGACAATCGGTAAATATGTCCTTGTTGAATTGCTAGCTGTCAGTATTCGGGCCAAGTCCAGCTACTAAATATAGAGTATGGCTTTTGGCAAGTTACTTTATAAAATAAAGAATATTTGCATATCCTGTTTAATGGTCCTTAACTGTACTTTTTAAGGACAAGGAGAAGCTAAGAGGTAATGTGGTGATTCTGAGCTCTAGAACCATCTCTTTCAAAGACTCAGTGCCTTCTAGGAAATCACTTATTCTTTCTTGGGCCTCTGTTTTCTTATTGGTGGAATGAACAATTTAGATTTAAGACTTCAAGATTCTCTCCGGTTCTGCAAGTTTCTTTATATTCTCTGCCTAAATAATACAGAGCACTTCCCTGTATGGCCTCTCAGCTTCAAAAACCCATCCTCTTATGGAGTCCCAAACATACTCAAGTTCTCCATTCTCACCTGTGCTCTTGCTCAGAATATCCATTCTCTTCTCTACTTACATAAATCCTCAACATCTTTAAAGGCCAGTTCCTCAATGGTGACCTCTGGAACTATACTGACCCCCACTCGCTGGGCCTTTGAAGCTTCTATGTACTGAATGTTACTATGTACCAGGCATGTGTCTCTTTTAATAACCAGAACAACCCCTCTGAGGCAGATACTATTAATACTTCCATTTTAGTAATAAAGAAATCAAGCTAATTTCCCCCATCTCACAAAAGTAGTATTCATCAGTCTTATATCCAGTTCTATAAGCTCCACAGCCAGTGCTTGGAGCCCTCATGCTACATTGTTTCTAAATATAGCCACATACATTAATGTGTATTATTCATTATCAGTTTACATCAGTATCACCTGCTCAATTTCAGTGAGTCCATGCTTTTAGTTTAAATATTTATTAAATGAATGTATGAAGAGACACATGAATGAAATATCACTAGCATCAGGGGAAAGTTGTGGGGTAGGGACTTAACATTTACTGAGGACCTCCTTTTCATCAAGCATCTGTCTAGGTCCTTTTATAAACATCTACATTTCCCCTTTTCATCTTAAACATAATGCTACCGGGTAGGAACTATCACTGCTCCACTTTGTAGCTAAGAGAGGCTAAGATCCAGACAGATCTTTGACCACAGACATGGTATTTTGACATGGTTAAATAGCTAGTTGGGGTTAGAGCTGGGAAATGAATTTAGGTCTTCCTGACTCCAATGCCAGTACATGTATCCACTACTTCTATCTCCTCAGAAGTCATCTGTATATGATAGGTTAGTTCGGAGATTCTCAAGAAGGGGTGAATTTGTCCCCCAGCAAACATTTGACAATGCCTGTACACACTTTGGTTGTCACAACTGGGGGAGGAGTGCTACTCGCATTCAGTGGGCAGAGCCCAAGGAGGCATCTAAACATCTTAGAATGCACACGACAGCCCCCATGACAAAGAATAATCCACCCCAAAAGGTCAACAGTGCTGAGGTTGATAAGTCCTTGAACAGCTAAAGAAATTTACTGGTGATGTGATACCATTTTTAAAATAAACAATTACAGTATTACAAAACCTACAGAAACATAAAGGCTATAGTTCAGGAATTTCTCCTAGCCATCATTAGGGAAATCAGTCATCATCCAACTGTGTTATTACTATAACGCCAGACAGCTCAGCCCTTAGGACAGGACAAACTTGTTCAATAAATAGCACTGGAAGAGTGGAATCAAGAACACATGGGGGTAATCTTTAATCATTCTGTAAAAAACTATGAGAAGGAAATAGACCAGTGAAGTTACAATTTGAGTCTGAAAACAAAACTACTGGAGTATACTTGTAGACTCTGAAAATTTGTCAGAAACTGGGTATGGAAGGAAAAGCATATTACCATACTGATAAACAAAATCTACCCAAATGATCTTGAAGACTTTTCATATGTCTCTTAAAGCTGGTTCTAATTAGTTCCATGAATGCCTCAGAGTGGGGCAGGAATTCTTGCCTTCCAACTCAAAGGAGAAAATACAAAGTATGTAGTCCTTCCTTTGTCTCAAGGTAGGTATTGGGTTAGATACTAGATCAACGATTTTATTTCTCCCTCTTAGATAATCCCTAATCTTCTCTTCCAACTCCCCCTTCGAATATCTAATAACCTGTTCATGGCCCATTACTTATATTTATTTGATATCTGGAAGAAGTGAGCAAGAGTCTATGGAACAAAAAGTTTATCATACTTTTCAATGTGTTCCCCAAAGGACCAAAACCAAAGATGAACAGCACAGCATACTCATGGATTTCTCCCAACTGTATCATCCCCATATCCGCCAAACATTTTGCTATGAACTAATCCCCCAAACATTTCCAGCATCCCAACTTTCACCGGCTTATAAACAGCATGCCCAGCTAAGCTTCATCCAACTGTATCATCCACATATCCTTGATACACAAATCTTTTCTTCTAAACTAAGTCCCTGTGCATTTCCAGCATTCCAAAAATTTCTTGCCCAATATCCTTCTAGGCCCCAAACCTTGATCAATGCTAAATTCACCTCCCAAGCTGACTGCCTGAAAATCAAAACAATATGCAACAAGAACACCAGACTTTAATCTTACGACACTAAGATATTTTTACATTTCCATGCCTGTCTTCCACACTGGACCAGATAAATCTATTTCTTATTTTGAGAACTATAAATTACAACAACAATAGCAGCTCTTACTTATAAAGAACTTATTCTGTGCCATGCTCCAAGTGGCTCTTCATGAATTTTCATGAATAATAGTAGATACTATTACTGATCCTTTTTATTGAGGCCCAGAGAAATGAGGTAATTAGCCCAGAGTCACATAGCTTGTAGGCAGTAAAAATGGGAATCAGACTCAGGAGGCCTGATTCCAAAATCCTTGTTCTTGGGAACTATGACACGCTACCACTGTATATATCACATTCACAAACTGTGCATCATAAAGGCACTCTCCAGACAAACTCAAATTGAGAAACATT